GCCTACGGAGCTGGGGAAAAAATTAAGGAGTGTGGAAAGGAGTAGACCTTTTCACGGCGTCAACGTCCTCTCCCGGAACCAGCCCAAGACGACTCTCCACTCCCCATGGAAGAAGTCTATGGAGCTGAAGCAGCTGAAGAGGCAGCTGGGAGTTCAAAAGAAGCTGCAGAAACTCCGAAAACCCCTCAAGGATGCATCCAGTGGATCGCAGGCGTCGACCGGATCCACCCCCTCAGGGTCAATTTGTACGGTTACTACCTCTACTCCTGGCATTGGAGAAGAGCCTTTCTCCACGCAGCCCAGTCCAGCTAGATGTCCAGAAGAAAGCAGTGGAACCACGGTGTGTACTGAATATTGGGATGTACCCTATGATCCTATTAATGAGACTATTTTTGGGTACTCCGAGCAACGCTCACCACTCCTGCTCGAGGTGATCTGCAACGGACAGCGCCTCCAAGCACTCGTGGACAGCGGGGCGTCGCACAGCGTCTATGACAAAACGGCAATCGATCGAGTCGGAGGTGACATCAAGTCCTCAAGCTTCTCTGCAACGATGGTGGATGGCAGTAAGCTACCTATCTACGGGGAAACACGGTTGCTACTCCAGATTGGACCCCTTCGATGGAAGCCTGCTCTCCCCGTCACAAATATCAAAGGACTCGACGTAATCTTCGGGAGAGACTTTCTTAAAAAGTTCAACCCCGAGATCAACTGGGTTAACCAGACGGCCAACATCAACAATAACGGGAGGAAAATCAGCCTTCCCAAATGGGACGACACGGGAAATATTCCAGTCGAGACACTCGCACGCTTTGAAAAGGACGTCAAACGGACCACGGCGGGATTCATGGCGATAGTCAACGAGGCAGACAACGGAGAGAAGCCGACCCAGGAACTTCCTCTAGCAGTCAAGAAAATTCTTGAAGAGTTCCAGGACGTTCTCCCCGACGATTTACCTGATCAACTACCGCCATACCGGATACATCAACACGAGATCGTAGAAGAGCCGGGGTCCAAGCCAACATTTCGAGCACCATACCGGCTGAGCCCGACAGAGCTTGCCGATATGAAAAAACAAATAGAGTATCTCCTAGAGATAAGGCTGATTCGACCTTCGACTTCGCCGTACGGAGGTCCAGTTCTCTTCACTCCAAAGCCAGACGGAAGTCTGCGAATGTGCATCGACTACCGAGCCTTGAACAAGCAGACTGTAAAAACTAAATACCCGGTACCACGGATCGACGACTTACTCGATCAACTTCGCGGTGCTACGGTATTCTCCAAGCTCGACCTCAGATCGTGATACTGGCAAATTCGTATGGCGGACAACTCTATCCACAAAACCGCTTTTCGAACTCGGTACGGGTCATACGAGTATCTCATGATGCCATTCGGACTCACTAACGCACTAGCCACATTTCAGGCGGAAATGAACCACATCCTTCGGCCCCTTCTGGACGAGTGCGTGGTGGTATATTTGGACGATATCCTGATCTACTCGAAAGATATGAAGCAGCACGTTGAGCATCTACGACGGGTGTTTGAAATTCTTCGACGAGAACGATTCTATGTGAAACTATCCAAGAGCGAGTTTGCGTTGAAAAAAGTCCAGTTCCTTGGACATATGGTGAGCGCTCAAGGAGTTCACGTGGATCCTAAGAAGATCGAAGCAGTGCAAACGTGGAAGACCCCTGAGAACGTGAAGGAGTTACAACAGTTCCTTGGATTCGCCAACTACTACAACCGGTTCGTACCGAACTACGCCAAGATTGCCGCACCGTTAACGAACCTGTTGAAGAAGAATACACCATATCAATTGGAGGCGAAGCACCAGGAAGCCGTGGAACAACTTAAAACCGCACTCACGTCCGCACCTGTCCTTATCCTGCCGGACACTGAACTTGACTATGTCATCGAGGCCGATGCTAGCGATCAAGCAGTGGGCGCAGTACTCTTGCAGGATCAAGGGAAGGGACTGCAACCTATTGCATACCTCAGTAAAAAGCTTCACGGGGCAGAACTCAATTACCCCATCCATGACAAAGAGGCCCTCGCCATCGTCAACGCATTTAAGGCATGGAGGTGTTATCTCGAAGGAAGAAAAATGACTGTCTACACCGACCACTGCAGCCTCAAGTACCTGAAGACCCAACCAACACTCTCCAGGCCGCAGGTCCGGTGGATTGACTTTCTCGAAACCCACTTCCATTACGACATCGTGTATAAGCCGGGGCACAAGAACAAGGCAGACGCACTGAGTCGCCCTGCACACGTTGCCGCCTTACAAATCGATGGCATGAACCCACTTTTGAAGGGACTCTTCACGCATGGATACACCATCGACCCCGAAGTCTCTGTAGCAGAAAAGCGCCATCTTCTACATTGGGATTAAGACATCGCATACCGCAAGGGCTCCACAAAAATATGGGTACCTAATTACCCTCCCTTACGCTAGTTACTGCTCGAAGAATATCATGATGTTCTCTACGCGGGCCACTTCGGTAGTAACAAGACGCTTGCCGGTATTGCGAAGCATTATTATTGGCCCCACATGGCGGATGACGTACAAAAATTCGTCACCTCGTGCGACACATGCCAATGGATGAAGAGCAGCAAACAGAAGAAAGCAGGATTACTACAGCCTCTTCCAGTCCCTGAACAGCCTTGGCAAGTGGTTAGCCTCGACTTCATCACCGGGTTACCACCTACCAAAGCTGGTTACGACGCCATTCTAGTCGTCATCGACAAATTCTCCAAAATGGGACACTTCATTCCGACACACACAACGGCTCGCGTTGAGGAGACAGCGCAAATATTCTTCCGCTACGTCATCTCGCAACATGGCATTCCAACCACGCTGATCTCCGACAGAGACCCGAAATTCACGAGTAAATTCTGGAAGGAGCTCATATCGCTCATGGGGACCAAACTCGCCATGTCATCAGCCTATCATCCCCAAACGGATGGTCAGACAGAGCGCCTCAACCAGATTGTCGAACAGCTTCTGCGAGCAGCGTGTAAGGACGATATCTCTAAATGGGATGCACATCTGCCGGTTCTCGAGTTTGCGTATAACAACGCCACGCACGCCGCAACAGGGCAAACTCCTTTCTTCCTCTGTTACGGTCACAACCCACTCACGCCTCCGAAACCAACAGTACCCACCACGGTGCAACCCGCACATGACTTCATTTCCACTATGCACCAATTGTGGGAGCGCACGCATAAACGTCTTCTGACTATCCAGCAGCAACAAAAGAAGCTCGCTGATCGGAGTCGCAACGATCATTCCATCAAGATTGGCGATCAAGTGCTTCTGGATACACGCAATCTCGCCATTAGCCATCTTCCGTCTAAGCTCCGACCTCGCTTCTGCGGACCTTTTCTCGTCGAGGCGCAGGTCACTCCAGTAACCTTTCGCTTGCGTTTACCAGCTACCTGGAGAATTCACAATGCCTTCCATGTTCAACTTCTCAAGCCCTATCGGGACCCAAACACGGTCTTCAAAGGTCGCCAGCCGCCGCCGCCACTGCCAGTGATCGTTAATGGGGAACCCGAGTACGAAGTCGAAGCCGTTCTGGCGCACCGACGAGGACGTAACGGCACCTTGGAGTTCTTGATTCGTTGGAAAGGCTATGATCCTTCCAAGGATACCTGGGTACCTGAACACGACATGGATAACGCCCGTCGTCCTCTACAGGACTACCTTGTCAAGCAGGGTGTTACTTCTACCACCCAGCTTTGAGGGGGGGAAGTGTGAGAGGACGTCCCCGTTATAATATTTTCTCACTATTATATTTTTCCGTTATCCCATTCTCCCTTTTCTCCTCTTTATTTTGGTCTTTATCTCATCTCAATCGGCCTACTATTCTATTTTCTAGAGCCTTCTATTTATTTCTCTTATTTCCTACTTTTCCCACCGACATACCTATTATACGGCACCGACAGCGCCGACAGTGGTGTATACGGTGTAATCTGGGCGTAATCCCAAGTGCCAATAGACTTGCGTGCTTATGCGCACTTGTGATTGTAGTATCGGGAAGGGTGTGTTCCCGAAGGTTCGTTTTATCTCGTTTATCCTTGTATTTTCCGAGTATAAATAGGCCTTGTATTCAGTTTTAGTGACAAGTTTTGATTGAGAATTCGATCCTGTGACAGAGCCGCCCAGCGGCAGAACCACCGAGCCGCCTGGCCACCGAGTCGCCCAGCCGCCGAGCCGCCCAGCAGCCAAGCCGCCAAGCCGCCGAGCCGCCCAGCAGCCGAGCCGCCCAGCAGCCGAGCCGCCCAGCAGCCGAGCCGCCCAGCAGCCGAGCCGCCAAGAAGCCGAGCCGCCCAGCAGCCGAGCAGCCGAGCCGCCGAGCCGCTCAATAGCCGAGCCGCCGAGCCGCCGAGCAGCCGAGCCGCTAAGCCGCTGAGCTGCCCTACTTCCGGACCACCCGAGCTGCCCAGTCTGGTGAGCACAGCGCCTTTTCTCCTGCACTGCCCTCACCCTACTGTTTGCAGTGCTAGTCGTCTGTCGTCATGGCTACCCCTAGTGTCCTCGCTTTTGACGCTGAGGGTCGGGCCATTGACTTTGAGGTATGGGTAGACGACCTGCAGCTGTTCTTACAGTGCGATAGGGCAGACGGCCTCTCTCTCTTTGTCCTTACCTCTGGCGCTTCCCCTGCCCCTGCTGCTGATGCAGACGCCACTGTTCGCTCCCAATGGGCCACGCGCGACGCTGCTGCACGTCTTGCTGTGCGTCGCCACCTCCCTACCTCCGAGCGTGCGCACTTTAGTCAGTACAAGAGTGCTCAGACCTTGTACGACGCTGTAGTCGCGCGCTACTCCTCCCCTGCCACTGCTGCACTGAGCCGTCTCATGCTACCGTACCTCTTCCCTGACCTTGCTGCCTTTCCCACCGTAGCTGACTTCATTACGAACCTCCGCACTAGTGACACTCGCTACCGCGCTGCACTTCTTGCTGACTTCTGCGCCACGAACCCCCCCCCCCCCCCCCCATGTACATCACACTGTACTTCCTAGTCACTCGCCTCCCTGACTCCCTTCGAGTAGTCAGGGACCACTTTCTCTCAGTCTGTCCCACCACACTCACTATCGACCTCCTCGAGAAGGCCCTCCTCGCGATAGAGAAGAGCATAGTCGCTGTAGGAGCCTCTCGAGGTGACCCGCGCACCCCCATCTTTGAGGGGTGTTCTCCCTCCCCCCTGCTGCCCTCTGTTGCCTCTGCTGCTGCGGCCGACCTCCTTGGTCTTGAGTCGGTCGGTGCGGCGTCTGCCCCTAGCGGGAGACGCCGCCCTGGCAAGGGCAAGGGGGGCAAGGGAGCTGGAGGAGCGGGCGGTGGAGGTGGAGGTGGAGGCGGTGGGGGGAGTGGGGGTGGCGGTGGGAGTGGAGGTGGGGGTGGGGGGGTCGGTGGCGGCAGTGGAGGCGGAGGCGGCGGCGGCGGTGGCGGTGGGAGCGGAGGTGGCGGAGGAGGCGGCGGTGGAGGCGGCGGCGGAGGCGGCGGCAGTAGTGGAGGCAGCGGAGGCGGCGGAGGCGGTGGGGGTGGCGGTGGAGCTGGTCGCGGGTCTTTGCAGAGGAGTGGCTCTGGTGGTGGCTCGCGCCAGCAGCAGCAGCGCGGTCGTGAGACCCTGTCCCCTCAGCAGCTCCGTGAGTGGTACACTGCACGCCAGCGGGGTGGGGATTTTGGTCCGTGCACCTACGTCCTGCGCACCGGCGACCGTGCGGGTGAGCAGTGTGGGGGTGCGCACCCCACCCAGCGCTGCTTTGGCCGCCTGACGGACGCGTGGCGTCACCAGTTCCCGGAGGCCTCAGAGATCCCTCGCTGGGGCGAGCTGTCTAGGGCGGGTGTTGCCATCTTTGATCTTGACTTTGATGCTATTCTCTCTGCCATGTATGCTGTGTCTATTAGTGATAAGGGTGACTGTTACCGGTGTTTCCCGCATGATCGGAGCATTGAGACTGCTGCTCTAGGTACTGGTGCGGCTGCTGCCCTAGGTGCTTTTGACGCTGCTGCTCTAGGTGCTAGTGTGTCTGCGTCCTCTGGTACCACGTCGGCTTCGGCCTCCCTCACCTTCACCCTTGAATCTGGGGCGTCTCGCTCCTTCTTTCGGGACCGCACCACACTCACGCCGCTTAGTCAGCCGGTTGCGGTGTCTCTGGCTGACCCCTCTGGGGGTCCTGTACTGTCTCGCTTCTCCACAGTCCTCCCGTGTCCGGCGGCTCCCTCCGGCACCCTGTCTGGTCTCTACCTCCCCTCGTTCTCGACGAACCTGGTGAGTGGTGCTGACCTACAGGATGCGGGTGTCCACCAGTTCACTCCTGCGCGTCGGCGGGTGACACACTGCACAGAGGCTAGCACAGGCCGACACCTGGCTACGTTCACCCGTCAGCCGGGGTCGAGCCTGTACACTCTGACCACTACGTCTCCTCCAGTCACCACGTATGGCCAGGTAGCTGCGTCGGGTCCGGTGTTTGCTGCGGCGTCCAGGTCTGGTCCTGAGTCTGCCCCCTGTTCGTGTCTTCTCCCGTCTCACGAGACTCTCCTCTGGCACCACCACCTTGGCCACCCCTCTCTGCTTCGGCTGTGAGGCATGGCCTGCCGTCTTCTTGTGTCTGGTCTCCCCCGGTCCCTCCCTCCCCTTCCTCAGGGCCCTGGCCCTACCTGTGTCCCCTGTGTCGAGAGGCGCCAGCGTGCTGCCCCCCACTCCTCCCAGTTTCCTCCGACAGAGGCCCTGTTGCAAAAACTTCACATGGACGTGTGGGGCCCAGCCCGCGTCCGTGGGCAGGGTCACGAGCGCTACTTCCTGCTCGTTGTTGACGACTACTCGCGTTACACCGTAGTCTCCCCCTTGTGCAGCAAGGGTGATGTCACTCTGGCGCTGTCCCTGCTACTGGAGCAAGTCCCTCTGGCGATGTCACTCTCGTCACCTCTGCACTTTCTGTCAGCGCCAGGGTAATGTCACTCTGGCGATGTCACTCTCGTCTCTTTCTGAGGGTACTGGTGTTGTCCCTGCTGTTTCCGGCGTCGCCACGCGGCCTCGACCGTACTTCGTTCCAATCCTGCAGCAGGTTCTTGGTCTTCCACCTGCTACTGGTCCTCCTCCTCCCTTAGAGTGTCCATAGCCTGTCCTGTCACAGTTACAGTTGCAGCCTACCTCTCCTTTGCCTGCTCCTTCTCCCTACGCTGGTCCTACTGGAGGTCTTACTGAACGTCAAGAGCCTGCGTCGCCTGTCCGTGCTACTCGCACTAGTGGTCGCGGTTCACGTCAGCGTCCTCCTCCTGACCTTGGCACGCACCGGATGTCTCTGCGTCCGTCCACTACTCCTCTGCGTGCCCCTTTGCCTTCTCCTCCAGAGTCCTCTCTCCCTGCTCTTGCCGATCCGGAGTCGGACTCTCTTCGTGCTACCAGTCCTACTGTTACGCGTCTCCTTGCTACTGTCGTCACTGACCCTTCTTTTGAGTCCACTGCTGCTTCTGCCCTAGTTACCGAGCTCGTCGACTTTGCTGCTCCCTGTCGCCTAGACTACGCTGCTAGTGTGCCCTTGGCACGGACGTCCTTGAGGACAGGTAGGAGGAGTTCCAGTGTCTGGCAGCTGCTTCACCTCATCTCGTGTCCTTACTGCTTACCCCACAGGGAGACCCGGATGCACTAGACATTCCGACTCCGCGCTCTTACGCGGAGGCGATAGAGGGTCCCTACTCCTCTCAGTGGCAGGCAGCTATGGATGCAGAGATGGCTTCCTGGAAGTCCACAGGCACCTACGTCGACGCTGTCCCCCCTCCTGGGGCGAACATCGTTAGTGGCATGTGGATCTTCAGGGTGAAGCGGCCGCCGGGTTCTCCGCCTGTCTTCAAGGCGCGTTACGTGGCTCGTGGCTTCAGTCAGCGGCAAGGAGTTGACTACTTTCAGACCTTCTCCCCCACCCCGAAGATGACCACTCTTCGGGTACTGCTGCACGTTGCTGCTCACCGTGACTACGAGCTGCACTCTCTCGACTTCAGCACAGCTTTCTTGCAGGGCAGCCTGCACGAGGAGATCTGGCTGCGCCGCCCACCTGGCTTCACTGGGTCTTTCCCTCCTGGTACCCAGTGGAGTCTCCGGCGTCCAGTCTATGGTCTCCGCCAGGCGCCACGTGAGTGGCACGACACACTGAGGACTACGCTTGCGGCTCTTGGGTTTGCTCCTTCTACTGTTTCTGCGCACCGACACCTCTCTGCCGCCGTTCTACATCCTCGTGTACGTCGACGACTTGGTCTTTGCCACAGCTGACACTGCTGGACTCGCCTACGTAAAGACCGAGCAACAGAAGAGACACACGTGCACTGACCTGGGTGAACTGCGTAGCTACCTTGGCTTGCAAATCACCCGGGACAGAGCACGCCGCACCATTACCCTGACTCAGTCACACATGGTGCAGCAGGTCCTTCAGCGCTTCGGCTTCACGTACTCCTCGCCACTCACTCTCAGCTCTACCCTCGGATGAGTCCGTAGAGTCGAGTGGCCCGTACCCAGAGCTTGTTGGCTGCCTCATGTACCTGATGACCTGCACACGACCTGAGCTTGCATACCCTCTTAGCGTTCTCGCACGCTATGTTGCTCCTGGGAGACACCGACCAGGGCACATGGCTGCAGCAAAGAGGGTGTTGCGCTACTTGTGCAGTACGTCGGGCATGGGGCTAGCGCTTGGAGGGCGGAGTCCAGTGTTCCTCACTGGTCACGCAGACGCTTCTTGGGCTGACGACCAGGCTACGCAGCGGTCGTCACAGGGTTACACCTTTAGCCTTGGTTCTGGCTCTGTTTCGTGGCGGGCTACTCGCTCGTCTTCTGTTCTTGGCTCCAGTTGTGAGGCTGAGATCTATGCAGGGGCCATGGCTGCTCAGGAGCTTCGCTGGCTCACCTACCTGCTGAACGACCTTGGAGAGCCGCCTTGTGTCGAGAGCAGAGACTGGAGCACAGAACAAAGCACATTGCTCTCCGCTACTTCCTTGCTCGTGAGCTACAGCAGTGTGGTCAGTTGCGGCTTGCGTACGTGGCCTCTGAGGCCAGCACTGCTGATGTCTTCACCAAGGCACTTGCGCCTTGTGATCATCAGCGCTTCTGCACCCAGCTGGGTCTTGTACCTGTCTTGCCTCACTTGCTCACCTCTTGACCTTGCTTGTACTGTTATATATATATGTATAACTGCTCTTGCTTGTCTAGCCTTAGATATATATGTACTCCTTCATGTGAACTGGCCTTGTGGCCTTGAACTTGTGCTCGGAATGTGTGGTGACTTTGTGATCCACCCTGAGCTTGCTTTGCTTTGCTTTACTTGACTGGTCTTGTGACCCCTAGTTCTCCCCCACTTGGTTGGTGGTCAATTGGTTGCCCTAGTAGTAAATAATAAAGGACGTTTGTACGCTGTAATGAGTGTGACTTCTGTAACATTTCTTACTACTCAAATACAATAATATACTATACCCTAGACTCTGTTGGAAACAAGTAATTTAAGCGCCTCTGTCGTGTCGAAGCACTAAGTCGTAATCGAAGCGAAGCACAGTGAAGCATCGGCGAGTCAACCCTCGGAGGCTGAACAACTGCTGGAGGTTACGCGAAAGTCAAAGGTCAGCGACCTTTGACCTGACAAGTACAGCGCAATAGCAAGGACAAACAACTGACTCGTTATCGAGTAGTTGCCCGAGTCGTCATTGTATCGAACCGCAACACCAACAGTAAAACAGTTATTAGCTATAACCTTTCATATTCCCTTGTACTCTTATAAGAGTCTGTATCTCTTTGCTTTAATCAATCTACTTTGCCCTCACATACCAGCGCAAGGTGGTTCACAGACTTGCTTCCGCTATTACATTGTTCCTACTCAGAGTTTAGTCCTGCAAAGATCCTAAGTGCCCTTTTCAGCCCAACATGGTATGAGAGCAATCAGGGCAAACTCAACTACTATCAAGACACCTACAACATCAAAAGGCATGGCAACACAAAAGGAGAGAAGCTCCTCTAATGGCTCTCTCGGTACTACTCCTACTCCACCTCCTGCCTCGGGCCTACACACAGAGGAGGGCATAGCAACAAGACGAGCAGCCGGGTCTACCGAAACTCCCACAAATCAAGCCGCGGGCTTTGACCCAGTCATGATGGAGAAATTCTTCTCCTTCATGTCCTTCTACGAACAACACCAGCAAGGGGCACCTGCGCAGTCAAACAACAGCAACAACAACAACGTGACACCGATGAGCCTCGACGGTTCATCCTACGCGCGAGGAAATCAGCAACAACAACCTACCTACGCCCCGTACGAACCTCAGCGCGGATCCATCAGCTTCATGCCGCGTGAGCAGCCTTCACCTGAGCAAGAAAAGACATTGGATGCACTTCAAGTTCAGTCGCAGTTTGCGCACGTCTTAAAACTGCAGACATCAAGACCGTTCGACGGAAAAGACTTCTCTACCTGTTCGTTTGAATTCGAGCTGATGATGGAAGGCGCGCAGATTCTTGGCTTCTTCGACGGGTCTCTTCCATATCCAACGCATGGGACGCAATACGACAAGCAGCAGTACACATATCAGTCCATGATGGCGTACACAATCCTACTGCGCAACGTCACACCAAACCAACAGCAGAATATTCGGTCTTACCGGGGATACGGGAACTCTGCCGAGCTCGCGTACAACCACTTGAAGAACCTGTATCAGGCAACAGACAGCGTTAACCAGAGTCAGTTAATGGCACAAGTGACAACAGTGGAAATGAAACCAGGCGAAAAGGGGATGGCATATATTAGTCGCTGTCGCAAACTGCGTGACAAACTCACTCGATGCGGAGGGTCGATATCTGAAGACGCCTTCGTCACACTCATCATTTGCGGTCTTGGTCCTCATTGGCGCTCCACTCGCGCCATACTCTGAGCTCACGGGAAGATCTCCAAAGCAGCACTCTGTGCTGAAATTCACGCCGAGCAGCAAGACATGGACCTGCAAGAGGAACGGCACAAGAAGAAAACGCCAGTACCCGAATTTGCGTTTCACACTCAACGGCGCTACAACAACAACGACAACTGGCATCAACCAAAACCCGTACCTCCGTTCTGTCATCTCTGCAAGACTTCAGGGCACCCTCGCACACAATGCCCGAATCGACAGCAGTCAACGCCGCTGCAACGTCAACTTCGTCCTTCAAGCAGTCAAGTGGCGTCCACACAAGCGCACCCCACGAGTCAACTGCAGCCCTCAACGGCATCGTCAACATAATATGCACAAGGAGCAAGAAACATCGTCAGTTGCATGGCAAGATTGATTGACTCCTGCATCACCGAGTTACCACCACACTACTCAGTGGAAGAACAACTCGACAACAGTACCCCTCGTCGCGAGTCACTTCAACCGAACCCGACGTATGCAGCCATCGCTCAAAGCGAGCCGTCTGGAAAAGACACTTGGTTCTTGGACAGTTGCTGCGGACAACATATGTGCTCTTCGGGTCGTTTCGTTCAACGAGAATACCAACTTCAACGCGACGTTGGCATCATCGTCGCCAACAATCAGAACCTGCGCACACGACGACAAGGCGTAGTGCAACTTCAGTCACGAGAGACAAACGTCATACTACAAAAGTCAAAGGTCTTAATTGCGGAGGGACTTGGCTACAACTTACTCAGTGTGAGTCAGCTGATGGCGAAAGGTATCCACCTCGAAGCAGACAGCACAACACAGGAGTTTAAGCTGTACCACGGGAGAGGAGGCCTCTACATCGGCAAGGCCGTGCTGAAAAACAACGTGTTCATCCTCGACTTCGTTCCAGATCTAGGCACCGCCGACAGCGACAGAATCGTCACCTTCACCTCTTGGACGCACCCACCGGATCTTGATCCTGACTTCAGCCCCGAAGGCTTCTGGTATTCGCACACTATCACTAAGGCAGAACGAACAAGAGCATTAGCAACAATTCAATCAGCAGCAGCA